TTTAAGGGGCTCTTCATCCTTTATTCGATGAATACATCAACTGTTATTATTTACGCTGTCTTTTATGTTTATTTTGCTATTTACTTTGACACTTTCCAGGGTACAGTTCGACTCGAGTTCATACTAACGGTCGCACCGTTGTTTTAGCCATTTACATTAATCTGACAAAAAATGTGTGCAACAAAAGTTAACAAATATTTTGAGAAGAATAAAGTGCGATAAAAATTTTTTTATTTGATAAGAGGCTCAGATCAACTTGACTTTTTTGAATAGGATTATGTAATTTTGACTTTATAGCGTTACAGGTGATCAGAAAACGAATTCAACGGTCGACTATACAATGACCTTTGAATGAACGTAGAAGATACTCCTCGACCGACCATTGAATATCCTAGTATCTAAGACAAGAGTAAGGTTGCCTGACTAATGAGTTCACTAGCAAGTCTAGGACGAAACTTCTTTCCTTTATGTTGATGAGGTACGTGGTAGGAGTTGAACATGGCAGAAAGAAATAGTTTACACGTTGTTAACCTTTTATAATAAAACAATCTTTCGCAAGACGAACTAACGAATAAAGGTGGCGCATCCGCTTACATTATGGTGGCGCCATCAGCGTTCGACTACGTGACGCTCTCGATCTACAATCGACTTCAATACTTTACTTTCCTCCTATTATCTCGCTTATATCTTCCTAGAACAACAAGCTACAGTCTCATAAACGATATACAATCCTCAATAAAAAAAAAATGGAATAAAAAATTGAATACAAAGCAACCAATGTACAATAATATGACACACGATTTTTTTATGCTAATACATATTAGTAGCACTGCCAACAAAAAAAAGATTCTAATATTCACATTAAAAGGTAACCATATAAAAATTACACACAATTATGTCTCCAAAATACACCAACCTCGCTGCAGCTTCCGTGAAAACACATTACTAACAAGAAATCACATTGTATATGAATGCAGAGGATACGAACAGCAAAAACGAAGTTGTGAAAGTAAACCAGTTACGGCCCAAAGAAAGTCCATACAGAATCACCTTGAAATTCATCAAAGATACTAACCTATGGTACAAAATCTAATATTAATTATTATCTCCATCACTAAAGGCGCAGATTAACGACGAAGAAATACTAGAAGAAGAAGAAGAAACCCTATGTTACAGAAATGTGTCAAGAATATAATGTAACAGTATTAACAGTCTCTTTATCGATTGATTCATTGTTGACTAAGTCTAGTATCTTGGCGAGATGCTGATATAATATAAGCTCAGATCAGAAATGAGAGATCCAAGAGATAACGTCCTGACTACAACAGTACTTAGAGTCAAGATTGGGTCATTTAAGTACCCTTTACCGATGATACGGAGAAGGTCGAGATAGCTAGTAATTCTAGGTCTAAAGCTCTTGGTGTGGAGCGGCCAGGGTGTAGATTACATGCTTATGATCTTCGGATCAAGTGGTTATAAAGCATGTAGAGCCCCAGGTACACCAGGTGCCGATACACGAAGCAATTCTCACTGACTCATTGCTGAGCGTCGTTTGGGTTTTGAATTGTAAATTCGCCCGAAGCACCTGGAATTGGTGCGTATCGTGAAAATCAACAATACTGTCCAGCTTCCAAATAGTAATATTTATCGCACATAACTATTACAGTAAAATAATATAACTTGGACTGTATCCGCAAATCAAAATATTTCGTAAATTTTCGAAATTCAACTACGAGGCCTCATCAATTTGGTTCAAGCTTTGGTTTTATTCTAACTATCAAGAACGATATTGCCCTTCCAAGCAATCTTGAGTTAAAAAATGGAAAGTAGTATTTACGACATGTGACGGTACATTGATTTAAATAAGCTAACACTGCTAAAAATACTGCGTATGAGATTTGTGATATTTCAAATAATTCAGAAAGTTGCCAAGAAAAGTCTTGAGTTCTGCAGGCTCTCAAATAGAATATAAAAAAAAATATATACAACATTTTTGCCATGTGATGTTTGACAATCATTGTTCGAAATAAAAACTTTAAAATAAAAAAATTAAAAAATCTATCAAACACCTTTGATAGATTAAAATTTAATTCTTAAAGTCCTGTTCAGACAATTATTATACGTAAAATCGTGGCGACTTGATTGGGAAATTTATTTATTTATTCAACGTCTTTATTGCGCCGTAACAAAACAGGGTGAAAGAGAAGAAAAAGAAAAGGAGACAATTGTATCGTGATGAATGAGCGAGTTTCAGCAATAACTATTTTACAACCCAACTTAAAACTTATGAGCCTAACTTAAACAATACGATGGACGTAACAATACTGCTAAGTGCAAGGGGGGAAAGACAAAGAAAGATTTATGGAAGACGGGAGAGAACAGAACAACGAGCAGCACGTTTAAAAGAAGACAAAAATGTAAGGAACGTATATTAAAAGAGACAGAGTTAAAATAGTAGGACACGTAAAATAGTGAAGGTTGAAATTTAAATACACGATGAGAAGGTACAAAAATATTGAGACAAAATTAAATAATTAAATAGAAGTCTGGGGGATCTTGCAAACCAAGCGACAGAGACAGAGAATCGATCTCTGTTGTAGATTTAGCCTGCCAGAACGTTGTAACAGGGGAGTTCTACGATCAAGCTTACGAGCTCAGTAGGAGAAACGAGGACACTAATTTTGGATACGCTGAACAAGAGACAATAAACGAGAAGAGTAACAAAGACTATAAACTATAGCACAGTAATCAGCCAGGGAAACGAATGAAGATTAAGTAAGTAGATAGATCATTGTTTTTAATCCTGGAATGGCACAAAAGATATGGTAAAAATTCACTGAAATACGTCCAAGTATGTAGTTTAAATGTATCAAATTTGAATGTTCAAACAAAGTTGAAGAAACCTTTTTATATGGATTTACCTTATAGTACCTAAAATTAGTAGCCTACAGGAAATATTGTATTTAATAATATAAAGATGATAATAAAAAATGGTTTTAGGAATTTATATTTATGACTTGAAGCTTTCAGAAAAGAATCCAACTTACACAAATTTTCAAATAATAACATTTTGCTGAGAAAGCGAATAACACAAATGTATTAGAGCAAGAAACACTTGTGCCTCCAATGATTCACGTGTATCCCACAAACTTCAATCAATCATGTAGGAATCTCGATGGGAAACAGATGTTTCGTCCATGAAAATCGAATTACAGAGCAAATTTCCACATGGAACCATGTTTCAAATTTTCTTGTTATTATAACTAGTAAAAGAAAAATAACCAAATACATTAATGGTTTGAATGTTACATTTTGATTATATTGCGTTATAAACAATGTATACACATGGGAAATTTAATTTTTCCTAATGTTTTATTTCTGAAAGAACCTTACTTTTTGATCAATCTTTGTAAAATAGTAATTTTTTCCATTTACAATTAACAAAGAAGGCAAAAAGACAAATAATGTAATTAAAATCTATTTACAACTCATTCTCCGAGAAGTACAAGAATTAGAATAGGCCATAGTAACAATAAGAAAACCCATGCATATCTGTTAACAAATGATTCAGTCTCAATATTTGAAACATGCAATGTTCCGTACTGAATTGAACATCTAATTCTAGCATGCTCAAAATATGATTGAATCCGAAACAAATACAAGATAGAAAACTCATTAAAAACTAACCTGAATAACAATAAAATACATAGTTTATTTAACTTTCTCAAGCAAACGACAATCGTGAGAGAAACAATGTAAGTTGTTTCTGTCATTAATAACCACATATTTGATAAGATATTAATTCCCATTAAAACAAAATATTTTTTGTCAAAACAATACTAAACTGACTAACCAAATGTAAACTTTTAGTTTTTGATCGCTAATAACCCTGATAGCGGTGGATGCGATCTTAAATAACTGATAAGAAAATAATAAAAAAGTGAGTTATCATTAAATTCATAAACAAATTTCATGCACGACAATAGTTATCGCATATTGACTTACTGCAAAGTATACACTAGTATGATGATTTTTTATAATCTAGTTTAGGGGTTGGCGAACTTCTCCGCTGAGAACCATAAGAATATAGTATACTACAGTAATGATTCTTGGAATGAGTCTCAGACATTATTCGTAAATTGAACATTTTTATTCAATAAAAATTAAAAAATTTCGACGTAGTTTTTAAAATTTCACATAAAAATGCACATTTAGAGTAAAATTGTTGAATTGGTTTCAAGTTTAGTTTGAGTTGAATTGGTATTTTTGTATAAATTCTTAAGATACATGCTTTAAGAAAAAATATGCTATATAAAACAGAAAGATATCTTACGAATAAACTTCAGAACACAACATTCTATACGTTACTAGTACATTGCCTGGTAAATGAAACAAAGAAAGACTGGTCATTTAACCGGCCATGGATTTACGTGAAGTGTCGCTAGGTTTACTGTTAATAAATTGAGTTGGTTGTGCAAGCAAACGCGTATTGCCCTTTATAACCCCCCATAATAATAAATAGAAAGAGCAAATTGAAGAATTCAATTGAATTTTTGCTTCGATATATTGTGTAAGGTACATTCACACTAGATTAAAGATTTCATTGTGCGGTCCTGATCATGGTTTCACACCCTAATCTGCTCATGTTTGTTTCAGCAGCCGAAACATGTTTATTTTAACGCGTGATCGATTTTACGACCTCGCTATATCATGCACCGTGCTATACATTACTTATCTAGGCGCTCAGCGAGCCTTCGTCCCTACTGTATATAGTAAGCACAGAGGGAGTAATCTTTCAACGCTTGAGGGGAATAGGAAAGTAGGGGAGGTAGGGGAAAAGGAGTCACGACTATCTCGCGAGCAGCCAGTTCACCAACCCTGGTCTAGTTTAAGGATGGGTTTTAAATTTCATTGCGATCACTCTAGCCGTTATCTAATGACGTGGCAGGAAACGAACAAACGAAGCAAGTTATAATTAATTATGATTGTTTAGTACTTACCCCGTTCAGTAGAGATGTGATAATAGATAGCCTATCCTGTTCACTGATATGCATAAAACAAAATAGTAGTAGTTTAGTCACAGCAGTGTAAAGTATCAATTGATTAAAATTTTTAATTTGATTAAATGATTGTCAAAGATGATTAAAAATATTAATTGTTAAAAAAGTAACGATTGAATTATTCGATTGACGAAAGACCTCAATCGTTGATTAATGTAATTAATCGTTCAAAATCCAATGAATGTTGATTTTTAAATGTAATTGGAATACATTTTTAACGGAATATTTATTACGTCATTTAATCATTATTGACGAGCATTCACATAAAATTCTAATATCACTACAAAACAAATTTCAGTAATTAATCTTTAATCGATTATTCTTCTGTCGATTGAATTACTACCGATAATAATTAATCGCAATTAACAATTAATAGAAATTTAATCGTTAATTGCGATTTATTGAGTGATGAGTTCATTAACTTTTTGCTCAACACTGAAGTACCACAAAATATGTATAGCACTTAACAGCGATAGATCATTCGACGTAGAAATAGATTAAAAAATTTTAATTTTCTAGTGATAAATCACTTGTAGAAGCATTGCATTAAGGAAGATTCTACATCAATAGTAATAAAGAATTACTTTTACTAATTTTTCAATAAAAACCTTCCGTTGACTATTATTTCTAAATGTTTTAAAAAGCACTCGTTGTCTTTTTAATACGACAATTTTTTAATTTTACAATCATTAAATGTAACTCGTTCTGGCGTACAATTCTCACGTATAATCTATACTTACAATTACCATTTTTCAGATGTTCTAATTTTATATTTGTCATACTATATTGTTTATATTACTCTGCGAATAATCTCGTAGGGAATTCATAATGTAATAAGTCAAAAATTTAAAAAAACTTTTATTTTCTTAATGAAGGAAATATTCAATTCAACTGGTGCAAAATTTACTCGTGAACAGATTTGTGCTTTTAAATGGAAGATATTCATTTCCCTCATTTTTCGATATCACTTTTTCAGTCAGTTCCCCTATGAAACATATATTGACGTTGAGGTTGTTAGGTTTTTTTACCTCTGAAAAAAAATATTTCATTAAAGCAGGATTTAGAAAGTTGTATTTCATTGTGAAAGAATTGTAGATTACGAAGATTCTTATTTTAATAAATGAAACATTTTGTAAAAGTTTCTGCAGTTATTTAATTTTTCTTATAAAAGCCCTCACGAACTACTTTGGTTACTTCGGTATTATGGAAAAGTTCCGTGGTTTTAGTTCTACACAGTCCGAAGTTTCATTTTAAGTTGAAAATTAAACGCAAACTCAAGAAAAACTTGGGCAGCAATTTTGCGCGAATCAGAAAATTATTTCCAATCGTTTCTATGAAACTGAAAGAATTTACAAACAACGTAAAAGGATAGAATCTTAATCTAGATAACAAAAACTGACGGTTAAACACTTGTATCTGATGAAAGAATGACGCTTACAAGGAATTTTTGCATAAAATCATTGCAAAAGACGAGAAATTACGCTTCATAAAAATCTTAAAAGAACAAAGCGTAGGAAGAGCAATTAACAATATCATTTGCAAAAGTATTCGTGCAAAAAAATTGTAACCTAATAAATGCAGAATAACCATATTCAAATTGTCATTATAAAACAATGTTCTAGAAATCATATTTTGTTGATAATTAAATTTTGGATGAAATCTAATATTAAATATAATTTCCGAAACATTTGTCTTTTACTTGTGTCAAGACTGAAGAAAATACTAAAATTATATTTTGTTGTCATTATTTTGATCAAATAGTTATCGAACAATCTTGAATTTTTGAAAATAATCTCCCCAACAAATTATTACATTTTATCGATTAATATTTCATATATATCTCAACTAATTTTATTTCAATCTATCTGGAATATTTTTGGGTAGTGTTTTGATTTTTAAAAAGTTTATTTTGGGCATTTGGTTAAGCGTACAATTTTAATTATTGCACATTTATTCAAGTCATTTATGAGCATTATAAAAATTTTCAGTAAAATAATAACTCTTGTGACAAGGAAATATAAGAATATGAGGAAATACGATCGATTCAGAAAAGTGTACTTTCATTTGCATTTTCTAAGTTGGATAAGTAAATTTTCTGGTGACTTATAAACTGAATTATGTGCTGTTCAAACCAGATGAAATAATCACGTCGGATTCCAGACACCTACCAATATCAATTGATCAATTTGAGCAACGAATTGGAGCGAAAACGACTGTTTACTGGTCAAGGCAACCGCCAAGTCGTATTGTTGCATAACAATGCTCGATCATGCATGACTCAAATGACAAAGGACACCAGTTTCACCTAGGAACTTGTTCTGCATTCAACGTGTTGTCTTTTGGTCCCAGCTAATTACCACCCGCCCCAATCGTATTAACATTATTTTATCGACTTAAGCTCCAATGAAATTGTTGATGTTTGAAAATATCAATGAGTTTGCCGTTTCACACCCACCAATCTTCTTCATTGGCAGCTCAAAATATCGTGAATAGAAAATATTTTAATGACTAAACCAGTAGCATATGCTCCACCCATAACTTTTAATCAAACAATATAAATTAAATAAAATAAAATTTTGTACTATTTTCATCGATGAAACATACAAATATTTTGGACAGTTTTACGTATCTTTCGTTATTCAAATGGAAGGATGCAATTAATAATGAAACTACTATAATATAAAAACTGGTTTTGTAGTCCGATAGTAATATAAAATGTAGTTTATTCAGATCTAATAAACCATACAGCGAAATTAGAAAGGTAGCGAAGAAAAGATGTTTTATAAAACTGTTTCGATAGTAGTACACAAGAACGGGAATTCCCCGCGACCGTCTAGCGGACTTTATTTGGGGGTTCCCCTACGGTCGACCAGTACTCCAACGTAGAGCGCCATCGTGCGGCCATAAGCGTGCCACAATCTCCCATAAATACATTAATGATGGAAAAATGCACTATGCCTGTTTAATAATTTTTCATATCTCAAGATGATATCTGCTTATTAACATGCTGGTAAGTACATTTAATAAAATTCAGAGACATTGAGAAATATTCCTTTTCTAATAATATATAACATAATGTATTTGGTGCTGTTTAATAAATTTTGTCCCGATTCATTAAATTTAAGTGGCTTAAAATAATATTAATAACTGTTTATCTAATAAATTCGAAACGAGTAATGCTGGTTCTATTGATAAATTAAAGATAAAACTGTAATCTCACAAGAATAATTTAGGCGTGTATTTAATGTAATTATTTCGATTTCCTTTTAACATTGCAAACATAGTAAACAATATACAATTTAGAATAAGAGAAAAATATCATAATAAGAAAAGAATAATAACAGAGTGATACTAAAAATTCATTTAAGAAATGAGACTTTTAATTGATAAATTAAATAAAATAATCTTTATGCAACTATCTAAATTATATATCTTAATACATTGTAATAATAAAAGCTTTAAATTCTATTGTATGTACAAATTTCCCCATTTTATACATAATAAATATATCTACGTGTGAAAAGAATTATGTAAAACAATCAATATAAAAAGAAGAGGAAAGAACAAATATTTAATAATTAAAACTTTTTAAGTATGTTCGTTATGCCCGTGGATGACTTACGTCTTTCATTGATGGGTTACAATCATAAAAATAATTTTCTTTATTCCATTGAGCATTATTTTTTAAATAATCAACAATAACTTTTAGAAAGCAGTGTTAATTGATAACAAACGGAATGTTCTTCGTTTAAAAAAGGAAGGAGAAAATATTAAATAAGGTTCTTAGGGTATCTTGAAAAAAAGATGGAATCTTTTTAGAAATAAACGCTATTTTTAAGTGTTCATCACAAATATAATTATTACTAAATTCTATTAGTTTCTAAATTTTCGAGGTCGATGGAACAAGAATCAATACAAATTTAACAGATACCGATATGTGAAAGTTGATTTTATGGCACAATGATACTAACTGTTCCAGTAATTGATTAAACAAAAATAAAATGTTACATCTCCTACAAACTCAATAAAATTGATTAAAAACAACATATGCATATACCAGCGATATAAACAACGTAAAAAAAGTTGAAAATTAAAGAATTCTTTTTCATTCAACACGTTGATTGCTAGACCAAAAGTGTAGAATTTTTTAGGAGACCAAAACTTCGATTTTAGACAATTGTAAATTACATGAATTGAAAGTCTTAATATTTATTTTCGAGACCACATTAAAATTCATAAACCTTATTTAAATTTATTTCCTTTAACATTTTAGCTTGAGAATTAATTGTTTTAGTTCCGAAGTGATATATGGATGAGATGGAAGTCAAAGTATTAAAATTGACACATTTCGATAGTCTATTGTAGGTACTCTTTTTGCATAAAATTGGATTATGCTTGTGTTCGAAGAAATTAATAAAGGTATTATTTTGACAGGAATGAAAGCCTCTAAAACGTTCTACAAATAACCTAAAAATTGACAATGAGTTATAATTTATTTTTTATTTATAAGGGTGTTTGCGTCCTCATAACATGACGCTCAAATGATCCTGGTTCCGTCAGACAAACCTTTTCTTGGCGTTTTTCAACCAAACGTCTTCGATGCTGTTTCTGAAAACCACTTGTATGTTCCGGACAGACAAGGGTCTCAAACAGAAGGATCTCGATGGTTCGTTGAAAAGCAATGGGAAAACGGACCATCGTGATCCTCTGTTTGACATCCACGTTTCGGAAGCTTCATCCTTTGTAAGCATCGCCGAAAGCGCTTGGGTGCAGAACACTAAGAAAACACTCGACCGATAGACCTTAAGGTAGGTTCAAGCTTATCGATATAGGTATTCGACACCTACTACTTCTCTGAAATGATTTTGATGTTGTTTGCTGTTGATTGTCCGCATAAATAGCTTCGTGTAACTACCGTATTTATGCTTCAATTTGGTATAACTAAAGTATGATGTGTCATAAGAAAAGCGTTACCCTTTTAGT